CAGGTAATCTTTCCTCTTTGTAATAGAGAAGATAGGTGCTTTATCCACATACCTGGCTTAAATTAAGCTCTATGGCTTGATCCCTACAGATATCTTTCTTGCAGAAAAGAATGAAATTAAGAAATATTTTTTTTTTCTGCATTCACATACTGCCTTTCCTTCTGGGGGAATTGGCACTGGAGTTTGGGAGTGTTTCTTGTTTAATGCACCTTTAATGCATCCCAACTTGTTCATAGACTTGTAATAAGACCATAGGTATATCATTTAACCACTTGTTGCTTCACTTTCATTCCCCCCGTCCCGACTGTAAAATGTGGCTAGTATTGAGAGAGTCTGGAGATTTTTACATAAGAATCTCTGTGCTCAAGCAACAGATCCCTATAGCCCAGTATTCTGCCTCAGACAAGTGTCTTTGGGGTAATATAAGAACACAGAAAATATACAGTAATGCTAACTTATGTGCAGTCTGCCTCCTTGGTGGAGGGACTCCATTTTCATGGAGCAGGGACTTCCTGACCATCTGTGTAATAAAGCCTCCAATGGATTCCCTGTCTTCTTCCTTTTGCCAAGAACTTGTATAATGGTCTTCTGCATTCACATAGACTTTTAGCATCAGCCATGTCATTCCACAGTGTAACAACAAACAGAGAAGCAGTTGCTTTGGACATGCTGCTATTTTCATTTTGTGTTCACCATCTCTTCTGTTGGAAAAGGCCAGGAGCTGAACACCTCTTCTTGGCATTGGTTTTATAGGCTCTGTCACCTTGCCACCTCAGCTTCTGTCTTAAACTGTTTGTTTTCGTGTATGGAATCTGTTCCATATCTCTGATCATCCTAGTTATCCCCATCAGTACCTTCTCTGGATCTACTGTATCCTTTTTTTGAAATGAGAAGAGACAAGCAACACACAGTGTCCTGGGTATGAACACACCACGCACACAGCGGTACATCCTATTTTTGCACTCTGATTCTTTAGATAAAGCAAACTGGTTTTGGACATTCCAGCAGAAATGCAGTAGTTGTACATATCTCCAATAGCTGGCATTTCAAGACTTAATTGTTGCTAGAAAGTGCTGTGAACTTAAGAAGCTAAATTTTTGTTGGCAGGAGTTGAAAGTGAATCGTGATGCTACAAAGACCCGTTATGTTCTCAATAGCCAGAAATTAAGTTACATGGGTGAATGTATTACAGGCACTGTGTTCAGCCCTCATCTTTATGGCCTTGCAGCTGAAGGAGGGTTAGGTCTTAAATGGAAAACGTGCTGTAAAGGGCTGATGTGATTCAGCACGTGGTTGTAGTCTGATTCTAAAGCTGAGTCTCAGCATGGTATTTGGGGAACTGCAGCTCAATGGCTGCCCGCAGTCAGTGTTTCAAGTTGAGATGCTGAATCCTCAGTGGATATCAAAGATCTCTGGGACTTGGGGCATTAACCATGGTGCTACAGGATTAAGACTCTGGGTAACTGCAGCTGGTTTGCTTACGTGTGTCTCTAAATGTTATAAAACACTTGCTTCCTCTCCAAAATGCCCTCTTCCATAAGAGACAAGCTTAACCCAAATGAGCTTGGATTGCTTGTAAGGTAAGATTGCCTGCACGGACAGTAAGCATGGATCACAGCAGTAAGTTAGGATGTCTGAGAGCTGGGTAAAATAGCAAACCTTGCTGTAGCTTTTCTCTGTAAAAGGTTATAGTATCAAAATGGATCAAGTTATCTCCAAGTATTGATGTAATATTAATATCCAACAAATTGTAATCACTGTCCCCACACTTGATTTTTGTTTTATAGCACAAACAGGTGTTTGTAGAGAAAGGTCTTTTTGTTCCATAATATTTTTAAAGGGGGTGTGAGTGCATGCAAGCGTCCCTGGCCAGCCCTGGCTCTGGGTGGCGAGGAGAATTCCAGGAACTCCAGGAAACTGATGTCACTGCATTGTGTTTGCTTGTTTTCTTTTGACTGCACTAATGTTTAATTTTAACTTAACCCTCAGAGGGGTATTTTTAGTAAAACTGTTTCTTCACTCCTTCTGTCCCATGGGGGGGGGAGGTGGGGGTGGGCAAGCAGATTGTGCCTCCTTGTTTTTTGCAGTAGTCAGCTCTTCCTCCTTTCCATCTGAAGAGCTCTCTGAGAGCTTGAACACTTAGCAGCATGTGTTACCCTGTCTCTTTGCATGGAGCACCTAAAAATTCATGTCTGTTCTCTACCCCTCTCTTAATTTGATCATTGATCCAGGCTGAAAGGAGGCAGGTCTACCTGGGCAGAAGTGCTCTATTCTGGTAAAAGAATAATATCTCTTCCAAATTTTTGGCTCCTGCAGTGGCTCTCCCACAGGATAGCTGGTTCTTTAGGGGACTAGCAGGTTCTTCAGTGACTGCCTACTGGGAGAAACTGGCTTTTCTAAAAGTTAACAACACTTTAGGTTGGAGAGGCTTTGTCAGCACTCAAGGGAATCACAGCCCTGGAGGGTAAGGGTTTCTCCCCCCCCCCCTTTTTTTTTTTTAAAAAAAAAGGCAAGAGATCATACTTAAAACTCATCAGTCTCAGAAGCTAAAATTTGAACAGCAAAATCTGGGCTACTCACTCTACTGATCTTGAAGAATCAAATTAATTCCTGTCTGAACTGCATGGGACAATCTTTGAAGCCATACTAGTTTTCTTTATTAAAAAAAAGCAAAGAAATACAGCTCTGTGCAGAGCACAGATTTACTTGAACTTTTTCTCTTTTCCATATCCTTGACCTGAGTTTTGGCTGCTGTCTCTGTGGTTTGCTGTTCATTTCTGCAGACAAAGAACAAAATTGGAAAACTTTGTTTCATCCTATTCCATTCCTAGTCTGTGTGTTACAATAATTGCTCGGGTGCCAAACACAAAGATAAAAAGAATTGCTGTGTTTTTAGTTTGTCATTGTTTCATGTATGAAAATGACTTTCATTTGTAATTATCTACACATTATAAGAAGTGCATATGTGGAGAAGCTATTGAAAAATGACAGCGGAATAATTAAATTCACACCAGCTCCCCATGTGAATACTAAGACATCAACAGCGTCTTCCATGGTTTAGCATTATCCACTTCCGAAATGGGCTCAAAGTGTGGAATAGCAAACTTTGATTCATTTTCTTGCACAAACAGGTCTCTGCTTTTTTGAAAGACTAGGTAAGAAATGCCTTTATCTCTGGCAAAGGGAGATTTATACGTATGGACTTACCAACATTATATACCTTGCACCTCCTGAAAGCTTCACCTCCTGCTGCGCTTCTGAACAGCATCACCCATTCATGCCAAGGACTGTCGGTGGGCACCGAAAGGGTTACCAGGTGCGGTGCAACACTTTGCATGGCTAGTATACGGGAGATAGGTGAGCTTGGGTTTCCTATTGCAAGAGTTTGTTGTGGCTGAGTATTTGTTGCCTTTTCCCTCTCCCCCAGCCTCCCATCCCGTAACTCACTTTTAAAACAAACCAGTCTCGGTTGTGCTGAGCTCAGCACTGCAGCCGTTTGCAAAGATGCCACAAGGAGAAGCAGCACTTCTCAGTTTACAGGCTGGACTGTGGTAGGAAACGGCCATGCCTTACGCTGTCAGATTGCTTATGCCCCGAAGGTATTGCCCATTGAGCAAACAAGGGTTGTCTCCCTGCTTCATCTCCATCTGCATGTGTACATTGGGGGGAGCTATTCTGACAGTCACCTTTTTGAGGAAGGGACAGTGTTCTGTGGGGGTTTTGGGGCAGCATTTAGCACAGCGCTGTGATGGGTGTCAGTTACTGCATTTATTTGTGTCGGGGTTAGCACTGCTGTTGGGTGTTTGAGCAAGGGGATTGTTTATGCCAGTTTCACTGAATTTTGGTGCCCAGCTGTGGGCTTCAATCTGCATCTTTTCATACCATGTGAACTGCTTGTTTTGCTATGTAAATCTTCTGTGTATTGTTTTGCCTTCTTGTTCACTGTTTCTCTGCTCTTACATAGAAGACACGTGTAATCCTGGGATTTGGCTATGCGTCATGCTGCTCTGGCGCTGCACCCCTTGATGCCAGACAGCACAGAGCGGCAGAGAGACAGAAAAAGAGAACTTCACATTCCCAGACTCATCCCTCTCCTCCTCTCCTTCCAACTCTGCAAATCAAGGATGTGTGATCCCTAGACAAGCCTTTCTGATTAGTTCTCATCTTGTAGCGCTCACTTCTACATGCCTGAGTGGCTCTACGAGTTGTAGCGGCCTCTTATTTGTTTGTAGCTTTTTATCAGTTTGAGCAGGGCTTTGCTGCTCAGCTGCTGCTCCTGTAATGCCATCTTGTGGTGGCCCTGGGCCTCCAGACGTGGCTTTCCCCACACTAGCCAAAGCTGACGAGCGGGCTACCTTCTGTGCTGTGTACCGGTGATTGTAGTGCCCTTTCTTAGCTGCATTTGTGTGCTGGTGGATCAAGGAAATCCCTGTCTCTAGCTGTGTGGCACTCATCAGGGTATGATCTTCTGAAGCTTGTGTATTGTGTTAGGCAGGAAACCTTCATGGCAGATGCCTGCACTGGGTGCTTCAACTACGATACTGTAAAAGAACATAGCCCGTATCTGTTAGAAGGATTGATTAAATATTATCTGTGTTATAAGCAGAGTGGTGTGTTGTTCATTCACAAGTTACAATAGCAAGCTATTTATTTAGTTAAGTATTCATCCCTGATACAGTGTATGTTGTTTTAAGTCCCACGCTGTTTTAAGTGCTTCTCTAAACACAGAGGAGTTGTTTAATACTTTGAGACTCTGCTGTCTTGTGATTGCAGAAAGGCGGGGGGGAGCTGTCAGGATTTTGTAGAAATTCCAATTTTATCTCTGACGGTTTTTTCTCAGTCTGTCTGGGCTTTGGGTAAGCCACAGGGGCAAAAATAAGTCCAGTGCGTATCTGCTTCTCAGTGACCTGGGAGCTTTACTGTACCTTAGAGAGTAAGAACTATGTGTCTTGTTAATAAATGAAGTAACAAATAACTGTATTTCCTTTTTGCCTCTCCAGTGTTCCCAACTCTTGCCCAGCCAGTCCACGTGGTGCTGGATCCTCAGGATATCGTTTTGTTCACAACATTACCTCGGATCTGCAGCTGGCAGCAGAGTATGCTGCAAAAGCAGCATCGGAACAGCAGGCAGACGCATCTGGCGGGGACAGCCCAAAGGTTCAGAGAAACATTACTTACCCAGCAGTGCTCAATGGGAGGGTTATTAAGACCTGGCAGTTTATTGCCAGTACTGGATATAGTTAAAAGGGGTCTAAGAATACCCTGGCCATAAGGGCGCTGTATACAGTACCCTCCAGGGTTTTGAGACCATGCCTTCAAACTAGCGTCTTATTAGCGGTAGATGATGAATCTGCTTGCTTAGCTGCCCAAAATGTATTCAAGTCATTCACTAAAATGGTTAAATAAGAAGAATTTTTTTGCTTGTTTGATAAATCAAGAACCATAAAGAGGTGCATTAAAATTCAGAGTCTTGTTTTCTCCTTTTAATTAATGGTATTTTGCAAAACACAGTTGGAGAAAGGGGAGGCAGGGGACGAAACCAGATCCTTGCCATGAGAAATCTGTAGTCTGACTTTAAAACAAACATGAAGGCCTGTCAAGCAAGTGTTAAATGAGGAGAGTAGCAAGTGGAATTTAGATTAAAAAATAACTTAGTTATAATGATGAAACTTAATTTTGGTGAGCTGATCTTCAGATCAAAGTTAAAGGTCTAGATCCAAAACCACCTGATTTGGGATTGGGTGGAGGAACACAGTACTAGATGGCTTTTTTTGTAGATTGAATTCTCCCTTGAGACAAGAAGGGCTGTTCTTGATGGAGTAATATGAAGAGCTGGGAATATGAGATCTGGCAAACAAATGAAAGTTCCTAGAATGAAACAAATCCTGCTGGAGAGGGGAAGGGACAGGATCAAGTTTCATATTGGGCTTGTTGCTGGGAGGAGAGCTGATAGCATACTTGCATGAAACCTTTCTAACAAAGTGTAGTTGTAGCTGGGCAGAATTGAAGGCTTTAGTTTCATGAACACTGAAAGCAGTGAACGTACCCTACACCCTCTAACTCTTTGCTTCCACTTGCTTGTGCTGATCCTGTTCCTTGTGCTGGCGTAAGCATGTGTGGTAAATTCAGTGGGGAATGGAGTCAGATTAAAGTTAGCTTTTTTGCATGTGTTTGTGGGGAGAGGGAAGGAGATACTTCAATCTGTCTCAGTCCTATAGTCCTGTTTGCACACAAATGCTTGTGCTAAATTGGGAGGTGGCAGTATAAAACAGGAGTGAAAGGGAAGAGGGTAATGCTGCTCTTAGTCGCCCCTGATGCTCTCGTAGCATCTGTGAAAACTACACCCCAATGTGCTTTTTTAGTTTGGGTTGTTGGTACACTCTAGTGTGGGAATTCTTTGTTAGTGACTAAATTTCTGTTTGGTTTTTTCCTTAGGATGAGTCCAAGCCACCCTATTCTTATGCTCAGCTAATTGTGCAGGCTATATCTTCAGCACAGGACAGGCAATTAACACTAAGTGGGATCTATGCCCACATTACCAAGCATTATCCATATTACAGGACTGCTGACAAAGGCTGGCAGGTGAGTTCTTGACACTGACAGGCTTTTAAACTACTTTGACAGGGCTTATCTGCTTTGAAATGCATATTTATTAAAGATCTGGGGCACTGGGAATAGCGCTGCTTTGACTATTCCCAGAGTGAATTTGTTTAACATAAGCTCACTGGTTTGTTTGTGGGTGATTAGTTTTTTTAAATACTTTCTAGGGCAATGTAGTGTGTTACTATTGGGCTTTCTGGTTTCTGAAACATTTTTAATGCTGTAGTCTTGTGTGTCTCACTTTTGTTTTTATTCTTCCACATCCTTGCTGTCCGTCACTCCTCTGCCCAGATACTTGCCTGAATCTTGCTTAATCCTTCACCTTGTCTTTGTTCGGCATGTTGTGTCAAAGCAGAAGATGTGCAACCTAAAACTGAGGTCCCAGGTTTTAATCATAATACCTTAAATCATCGCAGATGTTTGGTTTTCCCAGTGTATCAAGTGCCTTGCTGAAGTCACAGTTTGCAACTTTTGAATCTCAGAATGGGAACTTGGGGAACTTGGAGTCTGTGCTTTCCTTGTGGTATGAAAGGAAATCTGACCAGCTTCATAGAAGAGTTTGGATGTAGTTAACACATGCTAAATCAAGCTTAAATGTTCACTTGAGGGCTGCTTTCAAAGTTCCAAAAACCTCAGCTACACCTGCTTTCAGACTTTTTCTTGGCATCGCACCTCTGAAATGGGTGTTGTCATTTGAATATAATACACTAATGCAGCTGGAAAGACTCTTGCAGCTGCTGATTTCACTGTGTTCAACTGGCAGGAGCGGTACTGCTTGGTGCACTTTGAGTACAGTTGGAATAAATACGTTTCTGCCTCCCTGGCTTTTCCCTGCAGTTCTAATTAATTGTGGAATTCACTTCCTGCCTTAACCTGCTCGGCAGAGTTGTGCTTTGTGAACAAGTTGCTGCATCCTGCTTCAAAGAGAGCTGCATTTCAGTGGAGGGTGAAGTTGCCTTTTCCCCTTCCTCACTAGTGGCATTGTAAGGCTTCACTTGTGAAAAGCTCATCTAAAGATGCTGCAAAAGCTCTTTTTTTGTTTTGAAAGCGGAAGGGGAGTGAGCTTGTGTGCAGCTGGGCTTGCTGAGCCTTTCCCCTAGCCCAAAAGACAGTGCTACACTCAGTGAGAGGTGGGCTTTTGCAGTGAAAAGGATAAATAGTCTTGTCAACATCTGGAGAGCTGTGCAGTACTAGACTAGGGCCATATAGATAATGGATTCTTCTGAGACAACTGTCTAAGGGCATGTTGGCTGGCTTGCATTATGATTACTGTGAGCTGCAGTGTCCTTTAGGGCATGTTTGGGCACCCCAGTGATCGTTTGGCAGGTAAGCAGTTAGCACAGGCTCAGGCAATTTTTTCCGCTTGCCTAGAATAAAGCCTGTCTTTTGCAAGAGTTCTGATGTGGTTTACAGTGATTTCCCCCTGCCTCAGCAAAAGCTCTGCTTTCATTACTTTCCACAGAAAAGCCACTGCACTGCCTGGCTCCAGATGTATTTAAGTGATGGTGTAGTACCAAGCAAACCCATCTTTCAGCATGGTTAGTAGAAACTCTGACACATTTCCCCAGGTTTTCTCTTGCAGTTCTCCTGTGACTTTGGAGCACTGTGAGTTGAGTAACGTGTTTCTGTCTTCAACACTGATTCTGGTGGCATGGATTTTATTTTTCCAAGCTGTGTGGTGAAACCCACTCATCTTTGTTATATGCTTCCTCATGGCAAAATAATCATCTCGTTCCTCTGCTTCCTGCAGAATTCCATTCGGCACAACCTCTCCTTGAACCGTTACTTTATTAAAGTCCCACGCTCCCAGGAGGAACCTGGAAAGGGCTCCTTTTGGCGAATTGACCCTGCCTCTGAAGCCAAACTAGTAGAGCAAGCATTTAGAAAACGAAGGCAAAGAGGAGTGTCCTGCTTCCGAACACCTTTTGGGCCTCTCTCCTCCAGGTAACTTCAACTTCCTCTAATCTCTGTGCCAGACTCATTACAAAGAAAACAAACAAAAACTTCTCCTGAAGTACAGTGAGCAAACTTTATTGCTGTTTGTAATTTGAGAGGTAATATAGTTAGATATTCCTGAGGCATAATCTGAAAATTGTTCGACTTCTTAAGTGTTTATGAAAAAAACCAATCTAGAACCAAACTACAAAAATGCATCAAATAACATATCTGGTTTGGCATCATTTCAAAGAAATTCAAAGCAGTTTATCACTGGAGTAAGTGTTTTCAGATGCCAATCTCATTTCAGGAAAGCTGTGTTAAGATGTGGATTAGATCATAGTGGGAATAACTTTTGTGGTATTTAAAACACTCTCCTATAGGGAAGATCAGGTTGATCATGGTTGTCAGCAGTGAAGCGATGGGGGGTGTTCTGTGCAGCTGCTCCAGTCAGTGGTGTCAGTGCAAAAGAGGAGCTGCGTGCAGTGACAGCTTTTTCTGAGCCCTGTAGGTGTGAGGATAAGACTTGCAATTCAGCGCGAACTGGAGCAGTTTCATGTAACATTCCTCCCACGCCTCATTTCTTTTCTGTCTGTTAATATGGGGGGAAGCAGGAGGAGAGGTTTTCAGCTGATCAGCTTCTCTATCTTGTTTGTCATTAAAGAAGTGTTTAATTCCTCACGTGTTTGGCCACATGGGACCAGAGGTGGGAACCAAGTGGCTGGGGAGGAAGGCAACGGAGCAAAGAGGGAGCAACTGCTCTGTTAAGCACATGCGGAGCCAGACACTTGCATCTACATTGCCTCTTTCTTTCTTTTCTTCTCCCCGTCGTGGTCAAACACTGACAAAGATCCTTTGAGAATGGCCTGAAATCATAAAACTGCTCTGAACATGAGGCACTTCCAGCTTCTCTGTCAGCAATGGGTTTTAAAATGAAATGTTAAGCATGCTCTGAAGGGTCCAGTTTCCTTCAGCAAGGAATAGTATGACAGTATTTGGTGCTAAAGCATTTGCGAGGGTACTGTCTGCCTTTCAACTCCTCCCAGCAAGACTAGAGTAGGTAGTGTGGAAGAAAGGCTGTCCTACTAGAGAATCCTGTACTGCAGATAACTCTTGGTCTCTGCTGCTGTCTTGTGGTCAAAATGCATGTACACTTGCCAACACTACGTTCTGGTGTTTCAGGAGTGCTCCTGCCTCCCCTACTCACCCTGGCCTGCTGTCCCCTCACTCTAGTGGCCTACAGACTCCAGAGTGCCTGTCACGGGAGGGCTCACCCATTCCACATGATCACGACTTTGGGTCAAAGTTAGCCTCAGTTCCAGAATATCGGTATTCACAGAGTGCACCTGGTGAGTAGCTCTTCTTTCCCAGAGGGTGACTGTTCAGTTGCATCAAGTGCCATGCTGAGGACACAGCAGGAATGCTTCTGCCAGTGTGTTACAGGAGGATCTGGGTCTCTCTTTCCACTTCATTGTTAGATGCATATACAACTTCAGGCCACTTTTTCTTACTAGTCTTTGGATGAGGGGGCAGGAGATAAAGGAATGTGTAGAAACACATGAGCTAACCTTGAACTAGGTGGCTCTAAAGAACTGACAGCAGAGTAGGCATAGTAGTGCATAGCTCGCTCACACTAATTTACCAGCCTTCTGGGTAAGATCAGCTTGGCTACGCAGAGCTCTGGTGCTGTGGCCAGGGCTTTGGTAATTTGTTAAGCCCTGGTAAGTGTCTGCTTGTCAGCTGTGCTGTAACTGGCCTGATGTATAGAGTGTTCCTGGTGAAGTTGAAAGGCAAAGCTCATTAAGTAAAGCACTTTTTTTTTGTGCTTATTGGGTTTTTGTTCACAGAAATGTGCTCAGGTGGCAAGTAAGGTTTTTGTAAGTTAGGAAAGAGAAGATTGAAGGTGGTATTTCTGAAGCCTTATTTTTTGTTCCCTACCCCCACTCCTGCTAATGCTGAAGGACTGCGTATTGCAGATAAGAAGCACATAGGTGAAATGAGTGGAGGCCTTTTTGCCTCTCCTATTAATATATGCTTCTCTCTTCTGTTTAGGATCTCCAGTCAGTGCCCAGCCAGTGATTATGGCTGTTCCTCCCCGACCATCTACTCTGGTGGCAAAACCAGTCGCGTACATGCCAGCATCAATAGTGACTTCTCAACAGCCTTCGTGTCATGCAATTCACGTAGTTCAACAAGCTCCCACTGTTACAATGGTCAGAGTTGTGACCTCCTCTGCAAACTCGGCAAACGGATACATCCTCACAAATCAGGGCACAGCAGGAGGAGCTCATGAAGCTGCAGGAGCAGTGTTGGACTTAGCTGGTGACCACCGAGGTAGCTTTTCACCTCCCTTGCTACTCTGCTAATAAGTCTTGAGCAGGCTTTGGGGGGGGGGGGGGGGTGTCAAATGCTGTTTCACTCACTGGGTGCTTAGACCTTAATAAAAGATGTTTCTCCAGGTAAAACTTAAACCAAGTAAGAGCTCATCCATTTGATGTCTCCACCAGTGAGCAGGACAACTGTGCTCCCTTGTCTTCTGTGGGGAGCAAACATAGCAGACTTTGGAGGCTGAAGCGACATGCAGTGCTTTAATTATTTACATTATCCTCAACATCAATATTATGCCTGTGTATTGGTCAGTTGGATGTACTATGGAAATGTGCTTTTTTTAGACAAAAGAGATGGTCTGGGAAAGGCTGAAACTCTTTGCTTCAGGATGACCTTGTAAATAAATGATTGAGCCCTTCTCTTCTGCAGGCCTGGATTCCTAGAGGAAAGCATGCGCTTCTGGAAGTGCAGGCAGTGCCCCATTAAAGCAATCTTCAAAAACCAGTTACAACAAAGGCCTCTTTTTTCCTAAGCTGGAAATTCCAGCCTTGGGGGATTTAGTGAGTTAAACATTCTCTTGCTGTGATCTAGACAACACCTTGTCTGCTCACCATTTCAGGAGGGCTTAGTGCTACAAGATAGATGTGTGTTGTACCAGCAGCAAGACTAGTTACTTTGATTGCTTTTATGTGGGCAGTGGGGCAATGGTTCTTCTCTAAGGGAAAGAAAAAAATGACCAAGACCTTCCCTTACAGCAATAGCAGGACCACTGGCATTTTTAGTTCAGCGCTGGTTACCCTGCTTGAGTTTCACTCACATTCTCTAGAAATTCCTGTCTGGATCCCATACATGTTCCTGAAGTGCTAGCAGTTGCAGCTGCCTATCTGTCACCTGCTGCCTTCTTTCATTCACT